TGCGACCTTCCTTAAGTCTTCTGGAGGCTTCGACGGAGGCGTGGCAGCAGCTGGAGTGGAACGTCAGAGGCGGCGGCCGGCGTAGACCCTAGGGTGTAATGAAACCCTAGGGTTTCTGTTGGAGGCATCTGGACTGTTGGATCTCTCCAGATCCAACGGTTGATAGGGCTGGAGGCCTGGTCGAGTTTGGGTCCTGCTGGGTTGTCTGTGCCGGATCAGGTCTGGACCAGATTGGGCTTCCCGGATCTAGGCTTCTAGGTTTGTACATAATGGGTCGGATTTTTATTTATTCCGGGCCTATAATAATAATATATTTTAATAATAATAATATATTTTAATAAAAAAAAAAGAATGGACAAAAAACTAGTGTCTACAACCACTGTCATCAATCTGTCTGGATTGCCTCTACGAATCCTGAGGAGATTGTCTGCCCTCGATGTCATGGGCGGTTTGTTTGAGAGATGGAAATCACCAGACCAAGGATGGTTGTTGATCCATCCCCTGAAGCTCGTTTGTTGGAAGCATTGTACCTTCTTATGGATCCCAAGCTATTCAATCATGGCAATTCTGATAACCAAGAACCTCGAGGCAGGCCTTGGTTCAGACGTCGGAACAATTTACTCGACTATGGAGATGAAATTTTGCCCAGGGAGCGTCTTCGCAGGCACAGCAGCCATAGTTTTGATGAAACTGATGATAGAGAACAAGAACCTGAATCTCTACGTCTTCCTAGGACTTGGATTACCGTACGTCCTGCAGGTCCTTTTGGCCTAGGCAAAGGTGACCCGACTTTGCCACATGAAAACCATGCACGCCCTGGTCTTGATCCAAGAAACTTCTTTTTTGGACCGGGACTAAATGAGTTGATAGAGCAACTAACGCAAGATGACAGGCCAGGTGTATCCCCCTTCCAGAGTCAACAATCAATGCGATTCCGACCGTTTTCGCAGTGTCCACTTTGTAAGAAAGACTTCAAGGTCGGTGCAGAGGCAAGGGAGTTGCCTTGTAACCATATATACCACAGTGATTGTATCGTGCCTTGGTTAAGGCTTCACAATTCTTGCCCTGTTTGCCGCAATGAGTTACCTGTTAGCAGTACTGATGATCAATCTAGGCTTGTTAGCAGTAGCGATGAACTATCTAACAAAAACTATTTCTTTGAACCCGAATTTAATTCGGCTTCTTCCAACGACGACAGAAGATGTTGGAGGCTAAGGCAACTGGCTAATAATTTGTGGCCTTTCCACCGAAGGCATCAGAGAATTAACCCGGAGACAGAATCAGAACAGCTCCTGGCAATGAAACTTGATTCCCAGCGATTTCATTTTAATACATGCAACATGTAACGTATTAACATATCAATGGGATCACATTCTGCGAAGATAATCATAATTTCATACTCAGCTAACAATAGAAAATCATAAAATTGAACATAACTAGAGTTTTATGATGCAGCCAGTAACAGGGTTTCAAATCACGGTCGCGATTGCATTTTCGGTCATTTCGGGTTTACCGTGATTGTGGCCGTCGCGGGCGCTATTGGGCACTATTGCGGGTGAAGCGGGTAACTCGGACGGAGGTGAAACCGCTATATCACGGACGAAATCACGTTTTCGGAACGTTTTTTGAAACCCTGGCTAGTAATATAAATCATAGGGCATAATTAGTTTATAATCTTGCTATTAATTGACGCTGAAATCCTGTTTAACTATTTTTGCAGCAGTGGAATCAAGGACACGACGTTGCAGTATTCTTTAGGATTTTATATGCAGCTGTTCATGCAGACTTTATTGTGTTGATTGATGTATTTTCCAGCATAAAAAGTAATAAAGACCATTGTTCTTATCTCCACCGAAAAACCATCATTTTGATCAACAACGTTTTCTAGGGAAAAAAAAAAGCTTAACATTTTAGCTTATGAAAGCAGTAAGGAAGCACCTAGCCATCACCTCTTTTCTGTTAGACCACTACTTTTGAAATTTTACCAATCAGGTCTTAGTTGCATTCAATCAAGCCACTTACCCTTAATATTTAACAAAATTACTATTGCGTGAATATGTTCTTAGGCATGTGATATGACGAGTAGAAGAAAATGAAGGCACTAAGTTCTTTCCCAGATAAGAAACCTGGAAAGACAACTTCGGGTCTCGCATATAATCAAATATTGTCAACCACCTAGCAATTATAAACATTTATTGGATGGACTTACAAGGGTTCACTGAAACTTGATATTTTATCAACCCAACCAAATGTTGAAAATTTAAAGAATAATATGAGACTCGGAACCACAAGCAGAATTGGGATAGATATTTTTACACTTGCTGATGTTCAAAGATGAAATTAAAACGAATAACACACGAGAAACTCGAATTTAAAGAGATTAAAAGATATAAGTAACTTCTGAGATGGAGGTCATTGCAAAGTGGGCAGTCCCCCCGTTGAACCCAGAGCTCCCTTGAATATACATGACCAAATGTATGGCCGCGCTAGAAAAGGCTGTGGAAGTTCAAGAATGGGGTTCTATTAAAGGTGCAATGATATTGTGTGGTTGACAATGGTGGATTCAATTAAGCATTTTTGCTGGGTACATACTGGCAAAACCAACCCCTTAATTTACTTCAAGAAATCAAGTTGCCAGTGTTTTTGGTTTGGTTTGATTTTACTTTGTGCTTCATAATTAATTAACAATCCCATTTCTTGGGTTGTTAAATTAGCCGCTGCTATTTGTAGTTGCGTTTGCATGTCTCTATTATTTCATAATCAAGAATTTTACAAGGAGGAAACAATTCTCGTATTACCTTATTTGGTTTGTTTAGTATGAATATAAAATTATAATGTTTGGTTGGATGAATATAAAATTATATGAATGTGTATTTTACCAAATTATCCTTATGATATATAATTTTTTAAGTTAAACTTTAATATTAAATTATAAATATTTGAATGAAAATTCATAAAAATAATTTAATCATTATATTATCTAACTTTTGAGAAAAAAATTACATTTAATATATAATTAATATATTAAACTTATATTTTTAAATATTTTTCATAAGTATCATATTTATTTATATAAAATATAATATAAAAAATAATATTATGATCTCTAGTGGACAAACATATTATTTTTCAATGTATAAGATCTATTTTTTAATAACTTAAAGCTAAATATTATTTTAAATAACTATATTTTTACAATAATATTATTTTTTGCCTCATAAAATTACAAATAATTAATATATTAAATATTAAAAATATAAAATAATTTTAAATACTCAATTTTATTAATGTTTTACTAGATTAAACTCTTTGTATATAATTATTATGTTTATAATTTTGAGTAAAGTACGAAAAAATAAGAATTGAGAAGGATTATTATAAAAAAAATTCATTAGTCTATGAGTATTTTTGTACAAAGTGGTGAGAATTGTCTAATTAAGAATTTGGAGGTAATGAGGTAATGACATTTTCATAATTTGAACAAAAAAAATGAGATTGTTGGGAAAAGATTATTCCACAGTAATAATCTTTTCTGTGAACTAAACATGAGAATATAATTCCGAAAAAGATTATTCTCATTAGAAATGATCTTTTCCGTGAATCAATCACCCTTGAGTTAATGAAACATTCCTCACGGTGTCATTTTCTACGTGCTTTCCCAAAAATGTTACTCATCGCTATTCCTTAGGTATTTAAAAAATTCTTATTAATTTGGAAAAAAAATCTCTAAAATAAAAGAATTATTTCAAAATTATCTATCTATTTATTCTTTAAACCGTAAGTTATTAAAATTATGATAAATGCTCTGAGCTCTCAAGAAAGAATTTTTCTATCTTTAAACCGTAAGTTATTAAACCGTAAGTTATTTCAAAATCTCTAGGACAATTTGGTAAAACATATATTTTTCTATCTTTCGTTCTTTTAGCCAAACACTATAATATTATATTCATGCTAACCAAACCAAATAATATAACAATATTTCCCATTAATATGTTAAGTAATGTAACGTTCTTTTAATCTCATTTCCAATAATAATCTTACATTTTGTGAACCAAACGAACCTTAACGGACTCTACATTTCTAACTCTTTTATTCTTCAATCTCGATTCATCTTCTTTTCACAAGGTTTTCTCAACTATCATTTTCTATTTGGGATTAGAGTTTATAAATTGAAATATTCTTTAAAGTTGATTTTTTTATTGTTTCAGTAATTTGTAATCTGACATGGTCAAAGGGTGTCAAGTAAGTCAAGTAAACATGCCACATTCATCTTTTGTGATTAAAGTGATAAGTGTTAACGATCGAGTGTTCGATTTATTGTAAAACACAATATTAGTGATCATTATCTAACTTTTAAAACCTCAATGATGAAATAAGAATTTTACTCAAATTGTAATGGCTATTTATGTTGTTTATCCTTTTTTAATCTATGACTACAGAAAAATATGTACGAACCAAACGACCTCGACGGTAAATAAATTATTGTTATTTCTTGATGTTTATGAGTTCAAATACTATGAATATCAGAGGTGTGAGCATTTAATATTAAATGGTCAAAAAATATATTTAAACAAATACTATCTTATACTTACCTCATATTAATAAAAAAATAGACTGCAATAAAATAAATAAAAAACAAAAGGAATCATTTGTGTAATTTACTTTGACAAAAAAATCAGAGGTCCTTATACTTTTGAAAAAAATCAATGTATCTCCCATATTATTTTTTTCTCTTAATATAGCCCTCTAACTAAAAACAAAACCTTTGGCCAACAATTTTTTAAAGTACAGGGACCTATAATGCATTTTTACCTTTATATTTAGATTAAAATGACCTACTTCAATTGGTTTTAGATTTTTTTTATTTATGCAAATTTAGGGCAATACTTTTGGCGCCATTTTTTTTTGGAGAGTTACGATTCAGAGAAATTAATTTGGGATCTCATACCAGTTTGGAAGCATGTGTGATAAAGCCCTCCCCCTTAAAAAAATTGACAATGACTAAAAATTGAAAAATGGGCGAATCAGCTGAGAAGAAAAAGGCGGGAGTACTGATGGTTAACGGCACCGATCAGCGGGAACGGAGTGGAGTCCGCCGGAGGTTGGTACAGTCAACTTTGTTTCCGCACATATCTCTAAAAATTGAAACGAAGTTTCACGAGAAGGCTAATGAATGTGATGACGAAAATAATGACGTTGAAGATGAAGAGTTCTGTGGTAATCAAGGCAAGAAGAAGGGAAGAAAACGGAAAGGGAAAGTATGTCCTCAGAATCGAGCTTCTAAAAAGGTTTAGTTGAATTATTTTTTTAGTTTTCTGAACCGAATAGAATTGCAGAACCTTTTTCTAGTTTTTTTTAGTAACTGATTTCCAATGAGCAGGGAAAGGAGAAATCGCCCATGAAAACTACTCCAAAGAAGAACGGGATGAATAATTTGATGGAGAGTGACGATGCATCACCGTCGCCAATCCCTAATTTGAGACTGGAGGCGAAGTTCATAGCTGAGGTTGGCGGTTATGCTTTTTTCTGCATTATTTCAATCTCTACTTATGTTTTTGGAAGTATTAACATGGTTTTTGTTTTCTATTGTACCTTGGATAGCTGACACTAGCAGTTAACTTGCTTCTTTTTTTAAAAAATTTTCTGCTCCTTTTTGGTGTTGATAAAGAACTTTGTTTTGATTGTTGAAGTTAATATCATGTACTAATGCTGAAAGATTTCGATGTAATGTGGCAATACAACAATAGTTCCAGGAAATTATAACAATGGAGAAAATTGCAAAGCTTTGTGGTGAATTTTTTTGCTTTATGCTTTGGGTTCTTTTAGAAACACAGGTATGACCTAACCAGATAATAAAGATAAACTTAGGATTAAGGAGATTGAAAATAATCTTGAGACTGAACATAGTAACTGCTGTTTGGTGGTTCTAATTTTCTGAAAGAGAGATGTGAGGGTTGTACTAGGCAATGTAGGTTGTGTGCTGTTCACTGGAGGCCATTGATGATGAAGCAAAGCTTATGTTGGAGCTCCTGGAGCTTAAATAATGCCCAGCATGATGGCATTGGACAGGATGTTCCTACTCTTGAAAGTAGTCGGAATGATAAGTAACCTTCACCCTGAAAGTAGTCAGAATGACAAGTAACCTTCACCCTCAAAGCCTAGTGAGAAGCTTATATCTGCAAGCTTCATGAATCCTTTTGAATATGGAACGTCTCATTGGGTTATCCTTGCAACACAAGAAGCTACTATTGATCCTTTTTCTTTTTGCATAAATTCATCTGCCCCAGTTCCCCTCTCCTCCCCCCATTCCTTTTTCCTTGTGATGGGTACTGCAATATAGTATCTGTATGCATCAGCTTATACTACTAGCAAACAGTCTCTAAGTCAAGATACATTAATTTAACTAGCATGTAATATAATATTTGACATGTAAGCTATATCTGAAAGTGCATGTGTTTTATGCTTGATCAGGAAAATTCCCAGATGTCTGCAGGGAAGAAAATTCATCCATTTTTCACAATGCAAGAAGTGGGGAAGAGGATCCAGGAGACTGCCGAAGCAGGGAGCAGTAATTGTTTGCTTAACAGAAGCAACAAACGCATTGATATTGGTCCTATTCATGTATTTGAAAGAAGTCAGGTATTGCATTATTAAGTGAATCGTGTCTAATTGTATTGTATTTTCTGGTTTTGAGTTTGAACTTCGTAAATATTCAGCTCATCTGGAATGACATTTAAACTTTTCCATATAGGATGATGTAGTTCTTGCTTGGAAAGATTGGATGTTTTTGGAGAACATCTCCACTGACACCAGTTGCAACTTTGAAGGCCTATTCACATCAGTTTTTGAAAGTTGCATTGGGGCATTATCTTTTGACAACTTTCCTGTTGTTTCACATTCCTTTAATCCATCACTTGTTCAAAACAAGTTGAAAGATCAATTTGTTATTCAAAATAATGACTTTCTTGGAACATCAGTGGAAATACCTGCTGTGCTAGTAGATGAGCTGTTAGAAAACTGTCAGCTCCCAAAGAGATCAGAAGGGGTACGTGTTACTTTTTATCTTTATTACCATTCTTTCTTTGTTTTCAAGGAACTTCCTATTACCAATAATATTTTTCTCATTTTGTATTAATTTCCCCTAAATCCCACAAATTCTCCATAGAAATCCTCGACAATCAGCCTCCACAAATCATAAACCCCATTTTAGTTAGGCAAGTACCTTACGTAGAATCTAATATAGACCTCATTTACCCTGCTTTTAAAGGTGTCCTAGTTGCATGTGAGCCAAGGTTCATCAGCTGTTTATGTAACTTTTCGATGTTCTTTGATTTGTTTGTCACTATAAATTTTTTAGTGCCCTGACTGCCAAGTAGATAGAGTTGCTGTCCTTTCTAAGCAGGCTGATAATGTGGAAAATTCTGGTCTTGAACAGCGAAGTAGACTTCTTCAAGAAAGGTTTGAAATATTCATATTAAAACTTTTCTTCCCTGTCATCCTTTTTCATTTGAAACTTTTCTGATATGTTAATTTGGATTTTCTTAATCGTGTTTTCTATCACATATATTGTATGTGTCCATTAGAAATATTGTTTTCATATTAGCTGTACAATAACTTGCTCAATTTCTTGTAACAGTTGTGTCTGAAACTATTCATTTCAAAGTATGCAGTATTGATACAGTTTGATAAAAATAGGAGTTCCACCTTAATAAGTGCTTGCCAAATGGAACTAGCCCATGTGTTACCCACTAGTTAATACCTTAATTTTATTGTCTAAGGTCAATGATGCTAACTTTTGCAATTTAACCATATTAATAAAAATCATGTGTATCTGAAAAAAGAAGTTACTGATAAATTTGCCTTTATGTAAGTTTGATGTGTTATTCAAAGAAAAATCCCTTTCACTGTATTAATACATGCAGATTTGTTCCATGCTATCATGGTTGCAGTATCCAGCCTGATAATAGCTTATGGACTGATAAGTACCAGCCAAAAAGTGACACGGAGGTGAATTTTATTATCTTGTCTGGTCTGAACTGCTATGATCTGAGAAAGAGGAGGGAGGGGGAGGCTAATATGATATTTCACATTTTCGTTTTTCTCCTTCAATGCTGTTTTTCAGGTGTGTGGTAATACTGAATCAGTTAAGTTTATGAGTGAATGGTTGAGGCTTTGGCGTAAGAGAAGTTTTCAAACCATCAAATCCTCCAATAACATTGATACAGTCAAAATGCTTGAAGATGATGATTATTGCGAAAGTGATTTTGATTCAGGAAACATAGATGAAGAGAATAGTCTGAAGAATGTTCTCTTGGTTACAGGACCAATTGGGGTAAACACAGATCTTTTGACTAAAGCCTAGTTCATGTTTGTTTGTTTTAGAATTAATCTTTGTGTCGCCATGTTTTTTTCAACTCACATGATAAACTTTCATAATTGGCTTTTAATGAATTTATTCTCTTTATCATGTATCACTACTTGTTGCAGTTGATGTTTCCTTTGGTGGTCTTTTTTTTTTTGATATGAATTGCAGGCCTCATTAAAAACCCCCTTCTTGACTAATGGAACTTTTGAGAAAGTTCCTTAATCAGCGGAGGGAGGAAAAGAGTGCCTTAGGATTTTATTGCTCAAGAAACACAGTACATAAAAAACAACCAGCAGACAGACTAAACACCATAAAAATTACAGAACATTTAAAACGACCAGTCCGCCCCTACACAATAGCGAAACTACCACATCCCCTACAACCACAATAAACCAAGACCCTACTGAATGACCTCTAAGGCAATAATGAGTGATCAGCCAATCCCCTGTTTAGCTAAGGTATCAGCCTCACAATTGCATCTCCTCGGTATATGTCTAATAATGATCGCCCTCTCCGAGATTAAGGAAGCAATTTTTTGAACCAGTAAACTAAGAAAAGGAGGAGATGAAGTCGGCAGTAAGATCCAATCCACCACTGTCTTACAATCACTCTTAATAATTAACCTTCCTTTAGTCACCCATTCCGACGATAGAAAAAAATTCAATGCCTTTCTCTATGGCTTTCATCTCAGCGAGTGGAGGAGGACCTGGACCAACAGCAAGCTAGAAAGACCCAAGGATTTTGCTTTTCGAGTCCCTTAAAATGCCACCCATTCCCCCCAACAGCCCGTCCCCACTAACTGCCCCATCAACATTAACTTTAAAAAAAATGGAGGGGAGGAGGAAGCCATTCCTGAACCTTCATCCTTTTAGGGTGCCTTGTCTGGTGCTTGTCTGCAAGCGACGGGTCTCCTACAAGAGAGTCAACCTGAATGATAACGTTCGGGTACTTAGCAAGGAACCACTTAACCAACCTAAATCTGCATATGAAGAAAAGATTAGGTTTGTCTAGTTTCCAATCATCAAAAACCACCAAATTTCTAGCCTTCCATAGTGACCAAAGAACTACCCCCGGTATAAAGCTCCATATTAATGACTTTGGCCTTAAATCCGACCAGGAACACAGCAAAGAGGCTAGTGATGTCATTCTTTCTTACATATAGGTTTGATTTTAGATTTTTACATTCTTGAAAGTGGAACCGGTAAATTGACTTAGGTCCTCGGTTCTCACTTCTCAGAAGTCAGAACAATAAATGTAGTTACACCTGCTAAGAGTTCAGTTTTGAGATTGTATGAGGTTTAAGATAACTATTTTGCTTATATTCAATTGGAACTTAATTCCTTTTCTTCTTAAAGGGTTACTGTTTCGGAAAGCTTTTTGCAGTTTGTTTCAAGGTGCTTATGCTTTTGGTTTCCATTGATAGTTAAAGTTATTTTTCTGGTGTTGCAGAGTGGGAAGTCTGCAGCTATCCAAGCTTGTGCAAAGGAACAAGGATTTAAGGTTCTAGAGGTGCTACAAAAGTTTTAGATTCTTGTTCAATTGTTTTACAATTTCTTTGTTGATTTCTCAAGTTGAGGCCATATGCGAATCGTACTTATCCTGGCATAATATTAGGATCTGCCTTTGATTCACATAGACTCTTGTATTACTATGAAACTAAGTAATTACGTTAATTTCATAAGTTTGCAATTCTAAATTGTAGTTGTTTCTTGTTGTGCATATATGCTCTTGAGTCTTGCCACTTAAAGACAAAGATCCATCTCTCCTTTATTTTTAAATGATGAGTTTCACTATGAACTTATTCATACATAAGATGTTGTGGAAGATTGTGACTGGAAATGAAGTTGCATGACTATAAATCATTTGTCTTGTTCCTTTAAATTTGTGCTGCCATATCTACAGTGATTTACACTGGCTTTTTCTAAGACGCATATTTATGTCATTTGAAATATAATTGTATAGGATTTGATATTGATCATTTCATTTGAAAACTTTGAAGTTTTCTTCTGGTTTCTCTTGTATTATTTTTCTTGTTAAAAGGTCGATTCATATTTCAAAAGCCTCATATGCTTTAGCATAGTTTCCTATTTGTTAAATTACCGTTAATTTACTTCTAGTTTCTGCACTCCTAAAAGTAGAAATAAGAAGCAAGTAATGTTCTTGCAATTTCCGTATTGCTTAGTTTAATCCCTCTGTGATTACAAGGTATCTTTTCGACTGGTCAATTGAGTTATATTATGTGGATACTTTTTAGTGTTTTGTAATTTAGTTATAGGAAAGTAATCCATTAAGTGGAAGCTAAATGCTTTTTTATCTATTGTTTTGTTAGTCCAATGCATCAGACTGTAGAAATGGAGCTGTCGTGAAGCAAAAATTCGGTGAGGCATTAGAATCATGCTGCCTTACAGGGTTGGTGGCTTTTTCTTCAACATCACTCTTACACTTCTATCCTTTATTAGTCTTTATTTTATTATTATTCCATTGCCCATTGAAGCGTTGAGCTGAATTCAAGCTTTTCTAACATGATTACTTGTCTGAGATCGTAACATATATTTGTTTCAGGTCAGTAGAAAGCCAAGTAGATTCACTTAGCAAGCATGTTAAGAAATCTGCAGAAATTTTATCCAATGGTGATGCAGTGCAAGAAGTTGAAAATGCAGTGATAGAATTGATACCAGCATCAGATAAGGATGGTGCATCTGTTGCCCTTGGAGTTCCTGAAAAACATGTCTTTAACGAAAGTGAGACTGGCTTCGGTCAAGCAAAGTTGATTCTCTTTGAGGATGTCGATATCAATTTCCCTGAAGATCGTGGTTTTGTTGCTGCCATACAGCATATTGCTGAAAAAGCAAAAGGGCCTGTGATACTGACTAGTAATAGTAAGATGGTTTTATGGTCGAAAGAGTTTATTTTTTCTATAGCCTTGTCTGACAAAATATTTCTTCATAACTCCGTGTTGTGGCACTTGTGTGTGGTAATTCTCAGGTAAAAATCTTATTCTGCCAGACAACTTGGGCAGGCTAGAGTTATGTTTCACAATGCCATCACCAGAAGAGCTGCTTCACCATCTTTATATGGTATAAGCTTCCAGTTCCTTCCTTTAAACACTTTCATGTTACAACAATCTTTATCTTTTTCATGTTATCTTTGTGCCATAGGTTTGTGAAGCAGAGAAAGCCTCCATTCAATCACATTTACTAAAGCAATTGATTAAATGTTGTCAGAATGATATCCGGAAATCTATTATGAACCTCCAGTTTTGGTGTCAAGGGAAAAAACATCAAAAAGGTAAAAACACAATGAAGCCATACAATGCTTTGCAGTACATCTACTTTTGTTTCTGAATTTTAGATGTTGCCGTAATAGAAATTTAGTAAACTGGTTTTCCCTATAGTCAGGTGGGATACAATGCTAGAAGAGATCATGGAAAATGCTAGAATTACAAATTAAAAAGCTTTAATATTGAATATTTTCCTCGAGATGGTTTAATCTGTCAACGCCTTTGCAAATTTTGACAAGTCAATGTGCAAGTAAGTGTAGTAAAATTGATTTGCATGTACGTTCTTGTGCATGATCAAGAATCATTTGAAGAAAAGATTGGCCATCTATAAATACATATGCACATTGATTTCAGTAATCTCAATAGGTCCCTGATACACGTGGGAATAGAAACCCTATTTAACTGTTTTTGTGGTGTATAGTGATGTATGCACAAGATTTAATTCAAGTATTTATGTCATTGTTTCTAAAATAAGTGCACTAGAAAACTTCTGGTCAGCCTTTGTGATTATGGATTTATGGTTTAGGGTTACTATTAACGAAGGTTGTGGTTTGCTCTAGTTTCGATGTCTGTTCTTGGATATTGTCAGACGGTTCTCTAGTGATTGAGAGATGTGATGTTCGTTTTTTCTGTAGGGGAAAGGTGTGTGGCACCCTCTGCCGCTGGTTTGATAGATCTTCCACTTGTGCCATATTTCGTTAGAAAATGGTGTATTGCATATTGTGAATGCTTTCAAGAAAAACAGTGGGCAGCTTGCATCTTCTGTAGTTGAACCTTACCATGTTGCTCTCTATATTTGCATTTTTACTTTGTCATTGATGATTGCATTTATGCTTTAGTCTGCATTCTAGTTTCAGCTGTGTATCTTTGAATAAGAAATCTAATGAAAGAGAACGAGGTAAATTACATATAAGTTTTTTCCATGTCATAGTTTTTGCAAAGGTATTTTGTTATTACTATGACTTTTTGAAGCTACATGACTTTGGTTCTAAGGAACCGATAGAATTACTTTTAACATGGTCCAATTTGTAAAACTTATTTTAAGCTTGAGAAAATCAAAAAGGGTCTTTTCAAGGGTGTGATTTCCAATTTCTTGCAAAGAACATGTTATCATGTATTTATACTTTATTTTAACACCCATTGGGTTATCCAGATAGGAAATTGCAGAAGACTTATGGCTTGCAGCCGTTTGATATAGAGGCTTGTCATTCAGTACTACCAACTATGATCCCTTGGGATTTACCATCTCAGTTATCGGAGTTCATTGAGAAGGAAATTACTAAGACTGTATCCATAATTGAAGATGAATCTACTTTAATGGAGGTGATAGAGGAAGAACTTGAAAGCGACATGTCAAATGGCTTGGAGATGCTCGATAAAGAGATAGACAGCATAAACCCTTTTTGTGCAGTACACGATTTTTACAATTCTTCAGGCACCCCAATTTCTTTCGCTCGAAGAGTTCCTAAGCATAAACCTAATGTTGTCATGTCTTCGGACTCTGAAGATGAGCAATTTAATATACAACCTTCTTTAGTTCCAGAAAAGAATGTCAGCTGTGAATTATTTGTTAAAGAAGATTTGGGACTCCTCTCACCTCATCCAAACATTCAGAATAGCACAAGTCCATCAAGAGATAAGCTACTTTGTTCTGAAACAGAGAAATGTGAGGAAAGTGGCTTCCACTTCTCAGAAACATCAAATGATTTAGAAATGGGAGCTTGCAAATCTATGGATGTATCATATGTTCCTGAGTCATCCTTTGTTCCTGAGACTGAAATCAGTAATGGGATGGAGCTTTCTTCTAGAACTGTGTCTTACGCTAATTTTTCTGAAGCAACAGAAGTTTCAGTGAGTTGTGAGTTATCTGAGGACCTGATGCCAGTTGAAGTGAATGACTCTTGTAAATTTATACAGAAATCAGGTAAAAGTTCTGACGGTACATTCAGTATTACTGCTGAAGCTTCTCATGAAGAGGTGGAGAATTCTCAAAATGATTATGATGACGCTCCATCAAATGGACATGCAGTGATGGATGAATGCAGCCGCATGAATTTCACCAAAAAGTCCTTTTCCATGGGTAAATTGAGGAACCTTGTGACCGCTGATTCTGTGCAAGAGTCATGGAAAAAACTTCGTGACAGTCATGCTGATATGAAAAAGTATGTTGAATTGGAGCCAAGAGATACTAATGAAATTTTGAAACTTACATCTAGAATGAGTGACCTTATTTCACAAGCTGACATACTGCTTTCCAAGTGCCAAATACAAGTATGTGATAGATTGTACTCCCCCCCCCCAAAGAGACCATTTCTTATTGAGTTTATGCCTGTTATTGTGATTCTAATACTACTTGTCCAGGATACTTTTCAGCTGGGAACGATCCCTTCCGAGGACTCAAATGCATTTAGCTGGTGTGATGAGCAGCTGCAGATGGTTGACACTGTTTCTCAACATGGATTTTGCTTGTATGCTAAAAATATTGATAGTATAGGATCAAACATAGGTTTTGAGCATAGGGTGGATTTGAGCCAGGAGATACTGGCTTCCTCAGCTAGTGCAATGGCGTTTGGTAGATTGCGTGGACATGATGCTAGAGCAAGTTGTGCTTCGGTTGATGGAAAGGGTTTGGAAATGAGCCCTTCGAAATGTGAGCTTGCAGTGAAAAGGTACAGAGTTGTCATGTCCCATGAAGCCTCACTTGTATGTTTTTCTTGCATGAGTTGATCATATTGACCTTACCAAATCACACTTCACATATCAATGTTGATCATTTACAATATCACCGTGGGCTTCTTAGGATGGAAAAATGTATTTCCATGGATAGAAGACTCTGTAGATGTATTATTTTGACATTTAACTTCTGTTCTCTCTTCTCTGTTTGAAACAGATTTTGGTTGCCTCCCATCTAGTTCAAAGCATGTTTCCTTGCTGCTTGATTTATTCAGTTAGAAATTTCATTATCACTACTGTATTTTTAGTTTCATTAGCTTTGGCTTTGCAATACAGGGAAGTGAAGTCATGCCTTTTCGACATCATTAGGTCCATAGTCCCTTCAAGATTGCACTTGGCACTGAAGGGTGTTGCATGCCATGAATATATTTCCTCATTGGGAGGCATTTCAAGATCAGAAGCTTCCCGATTACCAGTAGGCACGGGCTTGACAAAAAGACGGAGGTACTGTTATTTATAATTAATTTCTGGTAAATATTAGTACATTTTCATGCCCAGCACATCCCTTGGAGTAGTTTCGTTTCGTTACAGATTGTTTTTATGCAGGGCACGAGGTGCTCGCCATTACTTGAGTACCGGTGCGCTAACATTATCCCCTGAAGATATTTCATTGTTGGGCCAATATAACTTCAATGGAAGGTTATCATCCAACAGCTGATGGACATGGTAAGCTTGCAAGTTAGTGTCCTTGGCTTGAAACAGTTGCCATGGAGTATTTTAATGGATCCAGAGAAAAGCAGATGTTATGTATTAGATAATAGCAATATTTATTGGAAAATAAATGTCTGAAGTCTTACAAACATATCTGAACACATGAATGCAGGTACAGAGTAGAGATATCTTAATCTTCGGGTGCGATTCCATCTATTTTGCTGATTGTAAAGCATAGTCGTAACAGTTGTGGTGATATAGTGATTATAGCAAGGAACATCCCTTCCCATCTTCTCTGCCCTAAAATTTGTTGAAGTGAATATCTTGTTATGAAGAAATTATTTTATGGGTTATTTCTCATCTAGTCACTCGTGATTCCTATATCATTTAAAAAGATCCACTATTATATTTTTGTCGTTTATATGCTTCGATTATATTTTTCAAATCATCTTTTTCGATGGTAAATATCAAAATTTAGAAAAGTTAGGATTATATGATACAGGTGAAATTGTTTGAATAATATGGTGCAAAAATTTGACCATATAAATTTGGCGGCCGCCGTGATCGATAATGGTAAAGGGATTTAGAATTAGAGATTTTTATGGTTGAGTTTTTGTTTAATATTTGAGAGAAATTTAAATAATAATAATATTTTTAGTTTTTTATAAGAACAAAATTTTTTAAAAATATGAATGTGATACACGTCAGATAATAATTTATTTTAGCTATCGTAATGAATTAAATACCTAAAAATATTAGGCTGAAAACATTATCCATCTATCTTGAAGGAGAAATACCTTAGGCATATAAAGTGAACAAAAAATATAGTTTGAATTTTTTTTATTAAACCTATATAAAATACCTAATAAGACGCCCTTTCTCTTTACGGAATATAAAAAAATATTATTTTTATAAATACTATTTAAAAATATTATAATTATAAATAAAAAATAATATATTTAAATAAGGCTTAATTAGAGAATAAGTGTCCAAATTGTATCACTTTTCTCGAATAGGTGTCTAAAGCTTTTTTCGAATCATCCAAGTGTATAATGTTAAAAATGTTATCACTTTAGGTGCTCCAATCGTAGCGATAGTTAAAAAACTCTGTTAAGTGACATGTATTGTATTCTGATAATTTTAGAAATGTTATTTTAAAAGAAAAAGTTCAAAAATAATATATTTAAAAAACCCTAATTCCTCTAAAATTATAAAAAGAATCTAAATTCTCCAAAAATCCCTAAAATCAACCTTAAATTCCCTAACCCTAACCTTACCCACTTCATTGTCGACCACGATCATCGTCGTTACCTCCATCCTTGGAATCTCCCTCGTCAGCAGTCTTCACCCTTGTCGTCGCGAGCATCATCGAGTTGCTTGGGTGTCGTGAATTTTGAAAGTTTGGCTTGTCGATATTCGTCGATTATGGGTCATTGTGTTCGTCGGATCGTCAGGTGAAGGTTTTGGTGGAGGTTAGGTCATTGTGCTCGGCTGATCGTCGATTATTCGTCTATTGTTGATTTTTCAAATAGTTTTAGGAAGAAAAAATTTATATAAGAGATGTGTTGTAAAAAAATTAAAATGACAATTTTACCCTAAAATGTTAAATTTTACTTTATTGAGACATTAAAAAAAATAGTAGAAATGTGAATGTGCCTAGTAAAAGTTGTTAACTTTTCAGAGGGACAATTTAAATTAGATAATTTTAAAACATAAAAAACCAATTTTAATAGTATAGAAGGAGTAATTTTTTTTAAAATTTTAAAAAGATGACATATGTTACTTAACAAAATATTTTAATGTCCGTTACAGTCGAAACACCTAAAGTGATAACGTTTGTAACGTTAAATACCGAGATGATTCAAAACAATTTAAGCACATATTAAAAAAAGGTTTAGTTTGAATGCTTATGTTCTAAATAAGACATTAAAAAATAATATCATTTGTTTAAAAGTTGGGTAAATTACATTACTTACTAACTGAACTTTACCCTCTTTTCTATTCATTCTCCGTACTTTTAATTTTTTTAATTTGCTCACTAAACTTTAGACATTGAACTTTTTAACGGCGCTATGATGTTACTATATTAATTGAAAAAATTAAAAATATAATAAGTAAAATAGGAGAGAGAGTAAAATTCAGTGAGAAAATATATAATTTATCTTTTTAATTATAAGTCTTATGTGGCATGTTTTATTATTAAAATAATCCACATGAGCACCCCGTTACTGAGTAAACAATAAAATTTAATAAGCAAATTGAAAAAAATTGAAAGTATGGTGAGTGAAATAGGAGAGAAAGTAAATTTCAGTGAGTGAGTAAACGTGTAATTTTCCCTTAAAAGTTTATTGACGATAAAAATGGGAAAAAAGTAAGAATGGAAAACCCTTCTGTGTCCTTTGTCATGTCTTGTCTAACTTTCATCATGAAGAAGCCGACCCTTTGCAATTGTAATTACAGAGGACAATCTACTCTTGTGTTTAGAAAATAAATAAACAAATAAATAAGGCATAAACTAGCCAATGATTCCCCTGATTTCAACCTGCAACAACAAATGTTTTTTCTTTTGCGTCATCATTGTCAGCCCCACACTCATTCATTCTTCCATAAATACATCTCTCTGCCCTCAGCTTTCTTTTCCCAGTTTTCTTTATGTAGTTTTCAAATTCATTTTTGGACACTGTTGGCTGTTACACCTTCCTACTCTTCTCTCCATATTAAAGATGCAAGCCCCCCATCCACTCACCCTTTGTGTTAAGTGCCCTTCTAGTTCTAATCAGTTCTAGCAGCCAATTGAATAAGGCAAGCGAAGTGCCTGAAGAAATGCATAGTTCAGATTCCTTTATGAGGCAGCTGAGTAGAAAAGAAGGTTGCAAATCCACATCCATGAGATGGACCGGTAGTAGTTTTGAGACAAACTTAACTCAGATGGAACAAGAGCTCAACATGAACGCCAATGGGATTGTTTATCACAATGGCCTGCAGCAGGTGTTGAGGAAAAGAGTGATGGTTGTGGTGGACCAAAGCTCACATTGTAAGCATGTCATGATGTGGGCACTTACTCATGTAGCTAACAAGGGTGATTTTCTCACTTTGCTTCATGTTCTCCCTCCGACTCAAAAGAGTTACAAATCTTCTTCATGTTCCACTCACCTTGCTAACTCCCTCGTCTCACTTTGCAAGGCTTATAATCCTGAGGTAATGAAGTTTGATTGTGTTTATATTCGTCCAACTTCTCTCTTTGGAAAGAAAACCATGCTAAAAAACATTAGGGTTAATAGAGTTACTTAAGAGTGGAAAGGGAGGGAGTAATCTTGTCTTTGTGTTTGATAGATCCAACTTGATTTGATCTTCTTCTTGTCACTTGCAGTAGCTTTCCCGTGAAAGACAATTTTCTAGTAATTCTTTGGTAGTGTACATGAGGTTGGATGAGTTCTCAGATGCTGTATTCTTCGAACCTTTTACCTTGGTTTGTGTGAGAGATGCCATTGCCATAGATCTTTTTCTTTTAATCCTACTTTTTATTATTCTCTATTTGCTATATCTTAACATAAAATATTCGCAAGTGTAATTATAACGATAAATGATTTACTAGATAGATTGTAAGATACTTGAATTCAATTGGGTTTCCATCAACTCTCTATTTGAATGGATTAGACTTGAATATTTAAGGAGTCGGATTGAGTTATTTAATATCGATTCGAAAAGTTTACAAATAATTCAAAAAAAATATATTAAAATTTTAAATTAAATTATTAATAATATTGACATTTATTTTTTATTTTTTAAATGTTGTATGTACTTAAAATTCAAGTTCGAGTTCAGGGTATTTTGAGTTCGAGTAAAACTTTAATTTTTTATCTCGAATTCGAGTCGCGCTTAACAACTTTAATCTCGTGAGCTTTTTAGTCGAGCCGAGTTCATCTTTGAATTTTTAGATTAGACTCAAACTCAATAAAACTCGACTCGACTCAATTGGTTTGCATCCCTAAACATAAACATGACATTTGTTGTTTTTACTAGCTTTAAATTGGGGGGATTGATGTTCAGGTAGAAGTGGAAGCAGTGGTTATCCCAAGCTGGAGACAGTAGTGAACCAAGTGATGAAGCTAGAGATTTCAGTGTTGGTACTGAGTCAGAAAAGGGCATCTCCATTCTTAAACTGGTGGGTTCACTTGATAACAGTAATACTTTGGATATTCATTCAAATGAGATGTTAATCTCAAGCATTTTTTATGGCCAATATTGGCAGTGTGAGAGGGAGCAGCGGCGGGAGCGATGAGTTTGTAGAGCAATGCATAAACAAAGCAGAGTGCTTAACCGTAGGGGTGCGGAAGCAAAGCAAAAGCGTGGGTGGCTACCTTATTACCACTCGATGCCAAAGGAACTTCTGGCTCTTGGCTTAATTCTACCCTCTCTTTTATTAACGATGATTTCCCAAGGCAGATAGGCATGTGCAATGATTCATTAGTGTGATAAATTCTGGCTGTCATCATTAACCAGATTTGGCTATCATCAATTCATCATTAATGGTATTGGTTCTATCATTCTATCATGTATTTTCTCATTGGAGATGTGGGCCTTTGCCCTCCTCGATAAAATTCTAAATCCATTGCTGTACATTCGGAGCTACCCAACATTCAGGCTTAGCTAAAACCAGAAGGTCTTGGAGGAATGAATATATCTTTTTTGATGAAGAGGTGGGTAAACTATAAATTTGGTCACTTTTATTTTGATTCTGTATAATTCTGATCAATCGTAACATCGACTTATTGGATTTACTATACTTTAACCATTGAGTCGTTAATTATTATTAGTTGACCCAATTTTCAAAATCCATTGTTAAAGAAGAGAAATCTTATTTTTATTGACATGTTTGTGATAAAAAGGAGTTTTCAAACTAGTTTTGGGGTTTGGATTAATTAATCAGGTTTTAATTATAAAAAATTGCCTAAATTATATCACTTTTCATAAATAGGTGTTCAAACTTTTTTTTAGTGATCTAGGTGTCTAATGTTACAAACGTTATTAGTTTAGGTATACGAACT